TATGGATGGATTATTGTATGGATTATTATTATGATACACATCCTTATTCACTTAAATTCTAGGCTACTGAAATAATGACCAGGACAGTCTTCAAAAATTCTAATTTTTGAACAGTTTTGAACATCAGTTTTGAACAAGTAAACGATAGAATTGTCATTTTTTGGGAGAACTATTCCTTTAATCTCTGTCCTGTTTTTTTCCCTTGGAGTGTGGCCTTCCTGTAATGTCAGCAATATATCTTCCTGTGACTCGACAGCAAGGATGTTGTTATAGTTACAGGCATTAGGTTCGACCCCCCTCTCCCTTCCCCCTGAGGTCACAGGAGAGTATTTCCCAATAGACTTAGTGATAGGTTGTGAGTCATGCTAGAGAACTTCTATCGGCTTAACAGCTCTAATGAGCCTTTAAACCAACCTGTTCAATCTCTTCAGCTCTCTGCTTTCAAACCGTAACTTCCTCTATTTAATACTGCATCTCTAGCGTGCTCCGTCTCAACCTCTCCAGATTGAGTAATAAAGGATTGATTGTTATCATGCAATTGAGTAGGAGGTGTTCAGGCCTGCAGTGGTTTTCATTTATCTGTCCTCATATGATCTCATACTGTTAGGATTTGTTCACACTGCACTTTTGTCTTTGGGAAAAGTGTAAATTTTCCCTCTGCTCTTGTCTATCATGACATCTTGCCATGGTGCTGCACGACTGATGCACACAAGACAACATAAACACAGGTGGTATTGCTGAATTTGGCATGCTTATGCATGTTCTATTCAAAATAGTTCACTGTTTCACTATTCTTACTAGTTTACAGCTGTGAATTTTGTGTGATTAAAAACCTATTTGTACCCACTGAAGAAAAAAAAAATCTGTCCTGCTTCTAACTTCTAATTCCAATCCAGGGGTACTTGGAAACATTCAAATTTTGTATTTTTAAATCAAAAATAATGACTTAAAAATATCAGGGCTATCAAAAGATGAATATAATCACAATTAATGTCTTGTTTTTAGTTCATGTGAATGTTAACACGTGCCGTTTTAAGGAAAGAAACTAATATGTAAGAGTTATGCGTACAGCATTGAGTTTGGAATAAACCTACGCTAAAATGTCTATTTTACATATAAATGAAGACACCGGGCAGATGTAGATTTCTGCCACACTCTTGACTCATCCCATTCGCACTTCTCTTTTCTTCACAACAATGTAACTAACGCCAGATGCTATTGAGCTCTAAACTGTCAAAACTTGTGAAACACAAACAAACTGTGCCTCATTAAAGGGACAGTCTTTTTTTCAAGACTGCATGGTTATCAGCATTGGTTAATTGCATGTTTAATTGAACATTCTCATTTAGTCTTTTTTTACATTTCGATTACATTTGCCATCTAATACTAACAATCGCAATCTTTAACTACACTAATGATTTTATTAGCAACACTTAAACATAATCTTTAGCAAGTCTCAAAATTAGTATACATTTTTCATACGTACATATGAAGTCACTTGTAATAGATTTTAGTTTTTAGTGTTTTATTCTTAATTTATTTAGACAAATAGTTTACCATTTTAATATCTGCAGTTTATTGGTTATCAACCAAAAATGAAAATAATTATTAATTTATTGACCGTTAAAATAACGATTATTTTTAATTCTACAAAAAAAGGGTCTTGCATTCTAATATATATTCATAATAACCATATGTGACCCTGGACCACAAAACCAGTCATAAAAGGGTCAATTTTTTGAATAAATAAGCTTTCCATTGATGTATGGTTTGTTAGGATAGGATAATATTTGGCCAAGATACAACTATTTGAAAATCTGGAATCTGAGGGTGCAAAAAAATCTAAATATTGAGAAAATCGACTTTAAAGTTGTCCAAATGAAGTTCTTATCAATGCATATTACTAGTCAAAAATTAAGTTTTGATATATTTACGGTAAGAAATTTACAAAATATCTTCATGGAACATGATCTTTACTTAACCTAATGATTTTTGGCATAAAAGAAAAATCTATAATTTTGACCCATACAATGTTTTTTGGCCATTGCTAAAAATATACCCAAGCGACTTAAGACTGATTTTGTGGTCCAGGGTCACATATGTAATAATGTTTGTTAATATTCTTAAGGCAATTAATATATATTGTTAACAAGAATATCTAACGTTGTTGTTAACATTATTGGGGGTTCTAGGTTAAATGAGAGTCCTAGTGGGTGGTCCCTGTTGGAAAAGATCTATGGAAATTAGTATATTCTGAACAGTTTGTGCAGCATTAATCAGTACTTTGATTTCCATCATGCAATGGTATTTCTTGCTCAGTGGTTGTCACATGCCAGATGACGAGCTACTTTATGGGTCACATGAATCTCTGCCGTCTCGCTTCCCATTTCCCCTCCTGCAGGAATACAGCACAGGCCCGAAGCTCAGGAGCAGCACGTAGACCCACCTCTTCTTTACATCAGCATTGCAGGGAGGAGACTGTACGGTTGTTTTCACAAGAGAAAGGAAAGCTGAGGAGACGTGTTCATTTCTAATGAATAGGTTTTCCCAACATCTTCGCTGTAGTCTGGATGTATTGCGTTTTAAAGGGCAACAATCTCAGGTTCTCTCTTCTTTCTCTTTGGGTTTTTGCAACTCCCAGTACGCTTACGCTAACGTGCCTCACCCACTGCCTTAGCAACCGTGATCTGCCTTACCAGGTGAGTAGTGTCTTGGCAACAACAATGACAGCTGCTTTGTGTCCCTGTGTCAGGCTAGGAAGAGTAAGGAGCCTCTCAAATTCTTGAAGGTTTGCAATGTTGTTGCACCTCAGAGTGAACTTACTTTTTGTCTTATTTTTAGTTTTGAATTCCATGTTCGTTGTGTTTGCTAAAGCAAGCTACTATGCTAATACTTATGATTAGTGATGAATACTTCACAGTAAGTATTAAACGTTGGTGTGTAACTCATATGACACTGTTTGTGCTACGAACTTGAATGATCCCTCAAATTATGTGGTCTGCTCTTACTTTCCTTAGAGATAACATGTATGATTTCACCTGGTGGCCGAGACACATTAAACCGACATCAAAGAGCTAGTGGCAATGGAAACCTATTGCGATGTTTCATCAAGTTGCCTACATTTGGGGCGGAAATGTTGCACTTGAGTACACCGCAAAGACACGGCCAACTAGTATGTGTGTTCAGCACCTGTGTGAGTGGAAATAACTCTCCATATCACAAGGTGGCAATAGTCTGTATTTGTCATTCAAACTGAAAGGTGGACCCAAAACAAAGCAACTGTGTGCGCCCTCCTGACTTGTTCGGTTTCTTGATGTCACTTCCGTTTTTCTTCTTGTACACCGATTCGCTTAGTTGAACTGCCAATCAGAGTGATCTCTCTCTCCAATGGGCTCTGCCGACAATTCCACATGCTCAACTGGTTGAAAAGCTACCGATGCAGGGTCCATCTAGTGCAGAATACACTAGTGGATGTGCACCTGTACTAGCTGTAGGCATATGCTAAGCATTCACATCAAAACTAATGTATGCTTTTGGCTTGATATACTCAAGTGATGTATACTTTCAAACAAGCAAAAAATCCCATAGACAAATGAAGAAGGGATCTAGGCACACTGATTTGGTTTGATTGCAAAGTCCAAAATTTAATTTGATTCCATCTCCTTGCTCCCATATGATGGATTGTATTATTTGGCTTCGAATCGTGGAACATTTATTTAATCAACATGAGTACTATCATGAGTATTGGCAAAAATGGAAAGCGTTGTTCACTTCACATTTTGATTCATGGTTTTACCCCATACACATATGGCATTTATGACTCTCAGAAGAATAAATCAGTTGAGCAAGAACAGCTAGGTTCTGGAAGTAAACAACAATAAGTCAATGTGATTTTTAATCTAGTTTTTGAAAAATATAGTACCTTGCACACCCGAATCTGTAGCAGGGCTTTGCCGCCAATTCAACATGTTCAATCAGTCGAAAAGCTACTGACGGGGAGTCCATCTAGTACCAACAGTGTAGAGCACACTTATTTTCCACATTCCACTCTACTTGCTGTAGGTATTCGCTAAGCATTCACATCAAAACTGAAGTATACTTTGGGCTTAATGTGCACAAGTGAAGTACACTTGAGGCTTTAAAACAAGCCGAAATCCCATTGACTTCCAATGAGGAAGAGATCTGAGCCTAGATATCTAGAGACCAGAATATCATAGAGACTAATGTTGGATAAGTAAGCAACCATCTAAAAACCACACAAAACACCTTAATACCCACATAGCACATGCTAAAAATGTCTTAGCAACCACATAGCAATGCCCTGGCAACCACCTAGAGCACCATAGCATTTGTTTTGCCCATGTTTGTGTGTTTTGCCCATTGCAAGCACCACTCTCTGAAAAATCTGATTATCTATGCAGTCCATCTCAACTAATTTGGTTAAATCTGAGCTAACATCTTGCTCTAGCTGATGTCCGTTGCCTCAACTTGAATACTGTTAAGTGAAACTGTCATTGTTTAAATCTTTGCAAGTGGGCTAAGCAGATTTACTACACGCAAGCCGTTCTATAGGTTCCTAGTCCCGTTATGTATGTTCCTGAAGGCAATGTGGATGTTTGGCTCAGTGAGAGAAGCCAAATCTGGATTAAAAGCAAATAAAACTCGGTTTGAGGAGATGTTTGGTTCAGTTGGCCGTGTAACTTCTACAGTGCATTCTGGGTCCAGTTCACATGGTGTTTTATGGGAGTTGGTAGGGAATTCATTCTTTTTCCTAGAGATGTTGGAAAGTCGTAGAGTTTTCTTCGCCACCTCACATTTACAGTGACTTGAGTTATTCGTGAAGGGTTCCAAGAACAAGGACAAGAACAAAGAAGAGACGACTCCCATTTAATTGCCTTCAGTGTCTTTTCATGTTTGATCAATTATACAAACACACTCATCTTAACAGGAGAAGTTCCCAGACTTCTGTTCTCATTCTTGTGATGTGTATCTCTCTGTAGGATGCGTGAGGACATGTCGAGCGTGGTGTGTGTGAAGGAGACAGATGGGCAGGGGGACCCCGGAGAGAAGCTGTCCCAGGATGAGCTGCTATGTCGGACACGGGAGGTCATGCAGGGGCTGGAGGCGCTCCGTGCTGAACATCAGACCATCCTGGAGGGGCTGATGGGGACCTTGCACTGCCTCAAACAGAGCCAGGAGGGTCGTGCTGTTGAGGAGAAGACCGCCATGATCCAACGCTCTATGGAGATGCTAGAGCTGGGCCTTAGCGAAGCACAGGTGCAGTGTGGAAATGCTTCCAAAGTGGGATGAAATGGGGAAATGTTTTTTTTTTATAAATTTGCTTGAAACCATAGTAACAGAAAGGCTACTCTCTCTTTTTCTTTCTTTTATCGATCGGTGCAGGTGATGATGGCTCTGTCAGGGCATCTGAGTGCAGTGGAGGCAGAGAAACAGAAGCTTCGAGCACAGGTACAAACACAGACACACTGCACCACATCAAAAATTAAATCGTGCTCTTGGGTTCAGTGGCGCACAGGTACAAAAATTTGGTTTGATTGCAAGATCCAAACTCAAATTCAATTCCATCCCACTGCACTAATTTGATATGTTTTCACATTGTATTTCACATTGTATTATTTGGTTCCAAGTTGTGTCAACAAGTCAGTTTTTTTTAATTAAATTAAAATCACATTAATCAAATTCTTGGCTTGCTACTAAATTACAAACAGTTACCAAGAAATAGGGCTGGACGATATGGCCTAAATTTATATCACGATATATTTCTTAATTTCGGTCGATACGATATAATTCTGATATCGATATGAACACTATTTAAAACAGCCTTGTAAAAACTGCCAAGAACGCCCACAACAGATGTCTGTGCATACAAACTTATGAAAAATGAATTTCACCAAATGAAACACCTCATATAAAACCATATAATATTTTAGAAAAAAAAACAGCACAAATAAATTAATGTTCACCTTTTATTTGTATTTAGCCTTCATACAAACAAGAAATGTGAAATCACTGTCAAATAAACATCTCAGACTCACCTTATTAATTATTAATATCTTCTAACATACCAGTCACATCAAAAAATACTCAACTGTATATTGATAATCAGCATATTAGAATGATTTCTGAAAGATCATGTGACACTGAAGACTGGAGTAATGATGCTGAAAATTCAGCTTTGATCACAGGAATAAATTACATTTTAAAATATATTCAAATAGAAAATATTTCTAAATGTTACTGTTTTTGCTGTACTTTGGAACAAATAAATGCAGACTTGGTGAGCAGAAGAGAATTCTTAAAAAAAAAAAATCTTACCATTCAAAAACTTTCGACTGGTAATGTAGGGCGGCTCATTATTCTTATAGATTGAAACAAATGTGCTTCAGCCAAGATAAAGAATATGAAAAGTGCTGAGAGTTGCTGCAGAAAAAAAAGAGCAACAACAAAAACTTGTTGCTGGAGGCGGGCTTATTAAAAATGCAAATTGATTGTCTGCCAGCAGGAGGTGCTGTGAGAGCAGTAGAACTTGCGGTTTCTCCAGTAATGGCTGTAATCAAAGCAGCTCCGCTCATGAACAGTACTTTATCAGATAAAAATGAAAATGTAATCGAAACTTTTCTGAAGACAGTCGGTTCCCTTCAGAGATTCATATAAAACACCCGCGCCGCGTTTTGATTTTGAAACGTGCAGTGCTAATGTTTATTCAACGAAGTCAAACGCCACAAATAAATCAATGTATGGGAAACTGGTAATGTATATCGAAATATCGGAAATGTGTTTAAAAATCATATCACCGTTATTGAAAAGCATTAAACAATTAAATAACATATATGTAACACAAACACATCTTATTGTTTTTGTATTTTTCAGTGTAAATGATATGGTAATTTATAGTTTTTACTTCCAAAAACCATACAGTTGACAGTATTTTACAGTAAAATTACATAAAATGCAAGTTTTCACTGTATATGGTAAGGTATATATATACAGTATATATGTATGGTAATATATATATATTTTTTATGACTCATTATTAATAGTTTTGCTTCATGCATGTCCCTCATTAAAGATTAGAAATATAAGATAATGTTTTTGGCTTATAATGCTCTTATTCACCTCTGTGCTGGTTGGTTTGGTTTATGGATTTATTGAGGATTTTTCTTTTAATGACTGGGGAAAAGAAAGGGGAAAATATTTCCTGAAGTAGGGCTGCTGAAAAAGTGGTCTGCTGCTGTTCGCTTCCACAAATGAGTATAAAAGCTCTAGTGTGAAAATGCCCTGAGGCTGCTTTTCCTGTTCTCCAGGTGCGGAGGCTGTGTCAGGAGAACCAGTGGCTGAGAGACGAGCTGGCAGGAACCCAGCAGCGGCTGCAGAAGAGTGAGCAGAGCGTGGCCCAGCTGGAGGAGGAGAAGAAACATCTGGAGTTCATGAACCAGCTCAAGAAATATGACCAGGACCTCAGCCCATCAGTGAGACTCGATCTTGTTTTCCTCCTGAAGTCTATCATAGAGCCTTTATCTCTGTGTATCTTTTTTTCTGAAGTCTCACTCTGTGCTTCTCTCCACCTCTTTCCATCTCACTCTCATCAGGATGATAAGGACTCTGATTCCAGTAGGGAGACACTGGATGATCTTTTCCCAGATGAGCAGGATGAGCCGGGCCATGGCAGTAAGTAGCACTCATCTCCGGTCCTCTGACCTGGCAAAACACAGGACACATAGAAAAGTCAAATTCAAAATATAGACCTGTCCCAATTAAAACACTATGGTATGAAGTACTATTGACATACCATGATACTAGAAAGCGGTAACCACTCAGGCTAATGGTATACAAGTCTCAGCAAAGTCAGAGGCCACTAGTAAAAAAAGTTTCTAATTTTAAACAATTTGTCACAAATTTGCTTACATTTGTTTTAATGTGACAAAAAAATAAATAATAATGAAATAAATGATCATTTATAAATATAATAAATTATAAATATAAAATGTATATTTTTAATTACATTTCTACACTAACATTCAGAACTTTGGAGTCAGTAAGGATTTTAAAATTCTCTTATTCTCACTAAATCTGCATTTATTTGACCAAAAATACAGTAAAACAGTAATATTGTGAAATATTATTACAGTTTAAAATAACTGTTTTCTATTTTAATATATTTTAAAATGTAATTTATTCCTGTGATTTCAACAGCCATTTCTCCAGTCTTCATTCCGAAATAATTTTAATATGCTGTTTGGGTGCTCAAGAAACATTTCTTACACAGTATATTAATAGCTTAATATTTTTGTGAAAATCGTGCTACTTTTTTTCAAGTTTCTTTGATGAATAGAAAGTTCAAAAGAGCACATTTTATTTGAAATAGGAATATTTTTTAACAAGTCTTTACTGTCATTTTTGATTAATTTACTGCATACTTTCTGAATAAAAATATTAATTTCTTAAAAAAAATTTACTTAATGACTCCACATTTTGAACAGTAATGTATATTAAATAAATCTCTATATTTATATAAATGTATATTCACACAAACAAATATTCTATTTATATCTGGGTTTAAATGAGACAATCACAGATTTTCAATGTGGTCTCAGACTTTTGTACCTCGCTGTACTTCACTGTAGTATATCATATCACCATCTGATACCATCACCGTACACTGACATTTTTCATTTTAATATTTAAAAAATGTGCAATGACCTCGAAATATAATTTTCTTGAGAGTGAAAAAATATATTACATTCATTTGACATATATTACATTCTCCTCTTACTCTTTTCGTATACATATATTTTACCACAATTGTATTTTAGTCAACTAAAAAGTGTAAATTATGGAAAACTAAAATGTGCAGTGGGTTGATGGGGGAAGGGAAACAAACAACAGTTCCTTTCCTTATTTTCTGCTAGAAAGAGTTTCCTGTCTTGTATTTCCTTTCATCCCCTCCACTTTCTCTGTTCTCCTGCCTGATAATTGGCTCATTGACTGCAGAGCAGGATCAAAGGGCAGCGTGGGCCGTGTTGTGACAGAGAGCGCTCCAGTGCACGGGAGTTTGCGGCATCATATGTCGCAGGCTGACAATGCCGAGTCCTGAGCGTGCTCAGATTAGCCCTCATTCTGACACATGAATGCCAGACGGCTGTTTCTCTCTCAGTGATGCATCCTTGCAGTAAATGATCTCCAGCAGGCGTTTTCAAAGAGGCCGACATTAATCTGCTCTAAGAAAGATCGCATTAATCTCTTCTTCTCATTCCTGAAGTGCTGCCAATGTAATCCTTTCACTGTCACTTTGCCATGTTTTTAATAATTTTTAGTTTATTTGAGTTGGCTAATTTGAAGTTAGCTTCGGCCTTTTAAGTCTGAGGCAAGTTCACATTGGGAAATACATGCTTTTAGATCTTGTGCCTATAAGTGACAGTAAGAAGTGCTTAGAAAGAAGCTACTTGTTGACTTTTGCTAATTGACCATCTTAACTCAAACACACAGATTTTGTTCCAGAAGAAAGTTAAATGTCTGCTGCTGTCTACATTGGCAGCATCTGAAATGAAACCTGAAAAGAGAGATTTGAAACACCCTGTTTAACAGCATCTCTGTTTGTGATCACTCATGAGAACCACACAAGACACTTCAATTCCAGTACCAAATTATTACATTCCAATAGCGGGGCCATTCAAGGGCCTCAGTAAACTTGTGCTGGGCCTCAAGATGACTTAAAAGTATTTAAATGAAATCAGATTTTTTTTTAAAATATATATATTTTGTGTGTTATAATTTTTAATTATTATTACAATTATTATTAATATATTACAGTAATCTAACTAATGAAAATATGCATGAAATCAAGTGTAATCTGAAATCATATTTCTTTTCTCCCGTCAATAATTATTGTTTTTATTTAATTTAATATCAACACTCTTAGTTTCTGTTAATAAAAAAGTTGGAAAACATAATTACAGCAGAAATACCACAAATATCCAAACCTACTGAATGTGTGGGGCCTTCAAATACTGTGTTGGACAATGGGGGGCCTTCCAAGTCAGAAAAGTTGAGAAACTCTACCATAGTCTGATATTAGCATGTTGCTAATCTAACAAAATATCTGTAAGCATTTTAGTGCTTATTAGAATTTTTAAGTAAAAGTTTTATATTTAGATGTTGAATGAAATATTTTATCTCTCAACATTTTTCACTGAGTTTGCCAAAGTGCATTCTGGTATTTCCTTATATTTGTTGATATATACCACAAATACTAAAGCGATGCACCTTTGAAGGCACTATCATTGCTGCCTCTAATGTGTGGAACACCATTTGTTTTGGGTCCGTCATGCCTACAAATACTGTCTAGGTAGGCAGCTCACTAGGTATGGGAACTAAGGTTGGGCCAATAGATGATACCATCGTCCATCACGATGACTGACAAACATCATGATTTTGAACCGGCATCGTGATCCACAACCTCCCCCCCAACCCACACCGTCTGCGTGCAGCCCAATTTTTTGTGACCATGCAGGTTGTTTTCAATGTTTTGGCAGATGGCGATCTAGCGAAACAGCCATAGACACAGCAGATATTTAGTTGTAAGACCAAGTGTTATACATTTTGTTTTACCGTATCTCATTCTCTCTTGCCCCACCAGTCCAGCCTCCTCACAGCAGTGCAGTAGCAGCAGCGCAGCAGGGCGGTTACGAGATCCCCGCTCGTCTCAGAACCCTCCACAATCTGGTGATCCAGTACGCCTCGCAGGGCAGGTATGAGGTGGCCGTTCCTCTCTGCAAACAGGCTCTGGAAGATCTGGAGAAAACATCTGGACACGATCATCCTGATGTAGCCACCATGCTCAACATTCTCGCCCTCGTCTACAGGTCAGCAGAAAACTTCAGCTTTGTAATGTATATTTGTTCACTGTCCACTCAGCTGACTTCACTGTATAGTTTTAAGCATGTTAGTCACAAGTACTGCTCACGTATGTGGACTACCATTCAAAAGTTTGGGGGCAGTAAGATTTTTTTTTTTTTTTAAAGGGGTCATATGATGCTATTTTAAAGATCATTATTTTGTGTATTTGGTGTAACAGAATATGTTGACATGCTTTAATGTTCAAAAAATCAAATGCTGTACATTATTGTAGGTCCTCTATGCCCCGCCTGTCTCAAACATGTCGTTTTCAACAATGCCCCCTCCTTTGACAAGCGCAGTCTGCTCTGATTGGCCAGCTGATCCAGTGCATTGTGATTGGCCAAACACCACAAGCACACGTCAGAAATTTATTGCCCCTTACCATAATCGCGAGCGTCAGCTTTCAAAGTAAATATCAAGACAGTTAAAAATGTCGTTAGTTTTACCATCAGTTCAAGCCCGAAAGGGCAACAGAGTCGCATTTTAGGAGGGCTCATATCTCTTTGGATTTGAGACTTTAGTCTTTGCAACTTTACAGATCTTTATGCACCAAGAGCTTGTAACACTCCAAAGAGAAAGGAAAGATTGAAATCGCATCATATGACCCCTTTAAACCGCACTGTGGTATCAACAAGTGCTTCAAACAAATAGGTTGAGAACCTCATCATCTATAGCTTTTGTTGTAAACTATGGTAATATCCGGTTTGCAAAGCATTTGGGACATTAGGCTATTGTGCCATCACCCTGTTGCCATGGAAACAGCTTTTTTCTGAAAGACCTTAGCAACAGCCCTTTGTTGCACAACGAATTGCAGTAGATTGATTTGAGTGTGATTTCTGCTCTTCAGGGACCAGAATAAATACAAAGAGGCAGCAAACCTCCTTAATGATGCACTGGCCATCAGAGAGAAGACCCTGGGCAGAGACCACCCTGCGGTAAGAACCTGTCTTACACTCATCAGTGTGTCTGGCTCTATGTGCTCTCCACATTACAGGAAAAAACAGTGTAAACAGCCTGTCTCTGCTGTGTGTGAGAGCATGTTGTGTGTTTATATTGAAATAAGCAGCACAGGCTGCTGACGTTTATTGAGTTTGTCATGTGAAGCTTATGTCTTGCCCTCCCATCAGGACCAGCGTCCCACAATTCTCTGCAGAGGTTAGATACTTTAACACCTCTTATAGACCTGTCTTCTGTTTCATTCTCTATCTTCTACCTGGCTGCTTCCTAAAGCTGGATGATGTATTGATTTTTCACAAAATGTATTCATGATGATTTTTGGGCAATATGAAATTGAGGAACATTGTGAGTTTCGTAATGATTTTAATACACTTTTCAAACAGGTATCACAATCCTCCAGACTAAATACTTGCACTTCATTATTTGTTTGCATCATCACTCAAAAAACATATATATATATATATATA